AAAAGAAGTCAGGTAATTAACAGTCACGTGATAGTAACTGGTAAGGTTAGTATCAAGAGTAAATTATTTCTTGTATTTTATTTACATGCAATAGAAGTACTCTGGGCAACTACAAATATAAGTTATTACTGAAAAGTATTCATGGATTTTGTTCTTTCTTAAAGTAAGAGGGAAACTCTATTTTTTTTTTTTAAAGATTTTATTTATTTGTCAGAGAGAGAGGGAGAGAGAGCGAGCACAGGCAGACAGAATGGCAGGCAGAGGCAGAGGGAGAAGCAGGCTCCCCACTGAGCAAGGAGCCCGATGCGGGACTCGATCCCAGGACGCTGGGACCATGACCTGAGCCGAAGGCAGCTGCCCAACCAACTGAGCCACCCAGGCGTCCCGGGAAACTCTATTTTAGAGTTTAACTTGTCTTTACAGTGTCACAATCATTTCTCAGGCTGTATCTTTCAATGAATAATCAGCCAAATTCTCTTAAGACCCAAATGATATGAAATCATTTGGTACAAATCAGGTATTTCTAAGGAAAAGAGATTTTTTTAAAAAATCTTACATGGTGATCATATGAACAATTCAGTTAAATAACTTAAAATTCAATTGTAAGTCTCAGTCAGAATTCGATGTTTGGGGGTCATTCATGCGCAGAAATAAAGAGTATACAGATAACAGCTAGGTTTATTCCAAAGGTCCTTGTGGTATTTTGGAACAGATATTGCAATGGAAACAGCATTCATCTAATCTGCTTTGGTTCTCAAGTTGATCTATAAAGCCACATTTAATTCAAAATACAAGTAGAGTTTTAGAGACCATAAGTGGGTCTAGGGGATATTACATTCAGAGTTCCAATTTGCAATGCCAGGCATGATAAGTTAAAAAAAAATAAAAAAGCACTTAGGTTAAGACCTTGGATGAGCCGCTTGGCCTTTTTGGGTCTCAGTTTCCTTACTTAAATAAAGGTCTGTGCAAACTCTAAAATCCTGTGTGTGGTTCTGAAGTTTGCCTTTCCTCCATCTGCAGAGTTAAGGATAACCTTCTCCTCGCAACTTCTGGGCAGTGGAACCTAGGACTTCCTTAGCTTTAAGCAGAGGTCTTACCAGGTAGGAAGGGAGCCTTACAGGGTAAGGGTTGGAGGAGAAAGAGGTAGAAATGGGATCCCAGAGAGTCAGGTCTCTATGGCCATGGGGGCTGGAACATTCTGCTGGTTTTGGGTCAGTTCTCACTTGTTTCTTTTCTTCAGCTGACTCCAAGGTACTGGTTTCCTGTTAGAAGACATGTTTCCCTTCCTTCTCCTTTCCCTTCTCTCTTTCCACAGCTCCTTAAGTCACCATTTTATCCTGGACACTGCAGATAAGAACACTGCCACTTTGACAAGTAGGCGATAGATACCTGGCAAGATGACTGACCTCACTGGGTTTCAGGATAATTCCTAGAAGACTTTTTTGAGGATTAAAAACAGTGTCCCTGAATACTGTGCCTGAAGCTCTAGCATAGTATCTGAAAAAGAATAAACACTCAAAAATGGCATAGGTTACACAGACCATCACTGCCATTATTGTATCTTGGTTAACCTTCATACTGAGGTGAGTTAGGACCATCACTGGGGTACAGGGTGAGTTGACTAAGATTGGGGTATATACCTCCTGATTTGCAGCAGTTGTGAGCGGTAAGTCTTGGAATGAGGACAGTAGAGAAAACAAACATGAGCAGCTACCCCAGGGAAGTATGGAGAATGTACTAGCAAAATCATATAGCTATAAGGATGGATATAAACTGGGTATGCCTTATAGTATCAGTCCACTTACTAAAGGTGGAATTTTGTTCTTCATGTATCAATGTTTCAGAACTTCACTGCTCAACTAGACGTTATCAGACAATGACCAGTGAAATGTGAACAGAAGATATAGTCATTCCATCAAAGCTACAATGTTTCCATTTTTTCCAGGGCCCCAGTTAGCAGTTGACTGACTCAAATTTATCATAAGGCTTTGATACATTTGATTAAATGGTTTTGTGGACAGAGAGGATTTTAAGCAACACATTCTACATTCTAATCAGTATGGCTTAAAGAGAGTGTGTGGATAGCTTCCAATTTCAAGAAGAAAACAGAAAAAGAATAGACACAGAATTCTAGCCTTCATAGAATAATAATGGGTATTCATAATAATAAAGAGAAGTTTCTTCTTTTATGTAAGAGGATAGGGAACCAAGTAGTATAAAATTTAGAAAAGTAACAAACCTCCAAAAAAGTTTTCACTTAGCTGTGAAAAAATCTAGAAACTTCCTTTATCTAGAATGTTTATCTAGTTGGATTATATTACTAACCGTCATATTAGATAAATGAAGCCTTATGATTTTTCTGCAAATTTAGTCAAGTGTATATGGTCTTTTTTATTTAGTTTATATGAGTACTAATTACCTGAATTACCTGATGGTTCCTTATCCATAATAATTATCTTTCCCTATATTCACAAAATTCTGTATTTGATGCTGTCTTGGGGATTTGCTTTTAGAAGCACAACTGTCTTTTCTCTTTCAATTAGGCACACTATTAATAAAATTATAAATTCTGGGGGCACATGAACTTCTTTCACTAATGAGGAACACAAAGGTTGTATCTATAATGAATCACTACTTAATGTTTTATTAATATATGTGTAAAAATGTTCTAGCATCTAAAAAGCACATGAAGAGACACTCAACATCACTAGTCACTAGAAAAACGGAAATTAAACTATAATGAGATTTCCGCTAGAATGGTTATAATAAAAAAAAAAAAACAGGCGATGACAAGTGTTGGTGAAGATACAGGGGAACTGAAAGAGTCATCCTTAGTAGGAATGTAAGATGGTACAATCACTTTGCAAAATAGGTAATTTCTTAAAAAGTTAAACATAAATTTACCATGACTCAATAATTCTACTGTAGGTATATACCCCAAAACAATGAAAACCTATGTCCACATTGAGACTGGTATGTGAATGTTCATAGCAGCATTATTTGTAACGGCCAAAAAGTGGAAACCCACATGTTCAACAACTGATGAATGGTCAACAAAACAATGGCCTATCCATCCATGGGCTACCATTACAAAAAAGAGCCAACTACAGATATGTGCTACAACATGGATTAATCTCAGAAACTATGCTCAGTAAAAGAAGTCAAACACAGAAGAACACATATCATACAGTTCTAGTTCTATAAATGCCCAGAAAAGGCAAGCCTACAGAGAGAGAAAGTTGACTAGTGGTTGCCTGGGCTGGAGGTGGGCATGGGGAGTGACTGCAAATAGGCATACGATCTTTCTGGAATGACAGAAATTTTCTAAAATTAGACTGTGGTGATGGTCACACAACTCTGTAAATTAACTAAAAGTTATTAAATTGTACATCAAAAGAAAATGAATTTTATGGTAATGATTTAAAAAAATTTATAAGGTGGGGCACCTGGGTGGCTCAGTGGGTTAAAGCCTCTGCCTTTGGCTCAGGTCATGATCCCAGGGTCCTGGGATCAAGCCCCACATTGGGCTCTCTGCCCGGCAGGGAGCCTGCTTCCTCCTCTCTCTCTGACTGCCTCTCTGCCTACTTGTGATCTCTGTCTATCAAATAAATATATACAATTTTAAAAAAATTTTATAAGGTATCTATTCATATTTTATAGATGAGAAATGTGAGGACCAGAGATGCTCCACAATTTACCCAGAGCAATGAAGCTAGTAAAGGGCATGGTGGTAATGGTTGTACAATTCTGTGAATAAATGAAAACCCTTTTATTTATTTATTTTTTACTTTATATGGGTGAACTGTATGGTGAATTATATCTGTGTGACATATGTGAATTCTGTAAGTCTTACCAAAAAAATGGACTAAGGAATATGTGAACTCCATTGTAAATGTGGACTTTATTTGGATTCTGATTCAAATAAGTTGGGTGTAAAAACAAAATAAAATATATTTACAGGACAGTTGGAAAAATTTGGGAGTGAGCGAACAGATTTATTTTGAGTCACTGACTTTCTTAATTCCTCAATTTACTAAGAATAATAGTATACTAGGGAGGTTGTTTGGCAAAGTGGTTCATTTCCATATACCATAACAACACTGAGATTCAAATCTTCTGAAATATGGATAAAATATATCAAAATCTATAAAATACCCACATGCAAACATTCTATTTACACATTTTTTTTATCTGAATACCTAGATATCTGCCAGATATCTGTCACACAGATTTAAAAAGTAATGACATTTTTCAATTTAAGAATGTTTACTAGATGGGTGTTCTCTTAAAGACAAGTATATTATATATATATATATTTTTTTTTTTTTTTTTAAGAGAGAGAGAGAGAGAACATGTGTGTGTGTGTGTGCGCACATGCACAAGCACGTGAGTGGGGGGCTGTGGGGCAGAAGGAGAGGGAGAGAGAGAATCTTAAGCAAGCTCCATTCCCAGCACGGAGTCCTGCAAGAGCCTCAATCTCAGGACCCTGAGATCACGACTTGAGCCGAAATCAAGAATCGGATCCTGAACCAACTGAGAGCCACACAGGTGCCCCACAAGGATATCTGAAGGTATGTTTCACAGCTTATGATTTCCTGCATGCAAATATGTTCTAAATGTAAATTATTTTGTTTTGAATATTTTATGAGTAAAAAAGAGTCCAGATTTAGCTGGTAGACAAAAATAAGAAGTGGACATTTATTTCAAGCATTTTAGAATATCTTCTCTTAGTTAACAGATGCTCATCTGACTGTCTTCTCCTAAGGGAGCAAATATAACTGAATTACCATTCCTTTATTAGTCTTCATGAAAGGAAAATCCACTCCACAATAAAGAACAGTGTCAAAAGACAATAGTAAAATACTTGCCTTCTTTTTTCTTAAAATTTTAAACTTGTATTTATAGATGTTAAATGGCAATTTGTTAATAGAAACAAAAGAGAACAACAGAATGTTTTTACTTCTTGATGACCGCTCAAGCAAAAATAAAATTTCTCTTACCATCCTGTTGATCCGTACAAAGTCTTCAGGTTTTTTTGCCCAAGGGGGAAGACCAACATCATTTACTACAACTTCATCTTCTCTGACTCCGAGATTGTAGCCATTACTGTTGACAAACATCTCCGGTAGATAATAGAACTCTGGAATTAGTTCCTGCCAGGAATAAAAATGTGGCATGTTAAACCACTTTAAAAATGAGTTGAAGTAAAGTATTATAGCTTGTTAACTATGAACTGGACTAAATACTTTCTTTACTAAAATTCAATATTTTATTACCTAATTCTATTCTTCGTTTGATTTTCTTTACGTAAGAGGAAGAGAAGGAAGAAAGGAGAAGGAAAGAGAAGACAAATATTTTTCTTGAACATTTTATTTGATAATTTATGTTTATAAGCCTTTCAATCTTATCTTGCCAGAACTGGTTAAGAGAAATGGGTTACAGGACCCGCAGTAGGTCACAATATCATTCTTAAACAAATATGTAAAGCTATACCTACAAGTCTATGCCACTCACCAACTTTTTCTGAATATTATTTTTTAAATTTTTTTTAAAGATTTTATTTATTCATTTGACAGACACAGATTACAAGTAGGCAGAGAGGCAGGCAGAGAGAGAGAGAGAGAGGAAAGCAGGCTCCCTGCTGAGCAGAGCGCCCTGATGTGGGGCTCGATCCCAGGACCCTGAGATCATGACCTGAGCTGCAGGCAGAGGCTTAACCCACTGAGCCACCCAGGTGCCCCTTTTCTGAATATTATTAAGGAAATATCCAATTAAAAAAAAAGTTGCTGCCAGTATTGGTTAGAAATAATGTCATATCTTCTACTTTTCTTTTTAATCACAAGGGCAATTACACTACATGATTTTTATAAAAAGATTCATAGTTTTATTTCATAATTTGCCAAAATTACTTTTGTACCTATCAGTAAACACAATGAAGAGATGACATACAGCGTGATAGTAATTTCTAAATATGTAACACAGCACCTGAATGGTATTGGTTTTTAATAAACTGGATGCAAAAACAACCTGTGTTACTTGGATATAGAGATGGCATAAACAACTTGATTCAAGGCAAACTTCTGTTTGATGCACAATGTCTAACATGAGGCTTATGCTTCTTTGGAATAAATTTGGTATAGAAATGAGCTGCTTTTATGACCCTAGAAATATTTTTTTGTTGTCCTTTTTTTTTTAAGCAACTGGAAGAAAATGAAAACAAAAACCACTGTAGTTTTTATGTATACCATTTATACAATAATTTAAAAAACCCAACAACAATCTTCTCAAATAGCAAGATGAGGGTTAAATTAACTTTAAATTATATTGTGAAAAGCATAAGATCATTTATTTGTGTCATGATCTATGTGGATAATGTAGTGCCTGAAATTCAACTCTCGCTGGGGTCTTCTCGAGAAATTCACAGAAAAATTAAAAACAAAACAAAACAAAACAAAAACCACCAAACGCTGATGGCTTCAAATAAATCAAATTATTAACTTTCAAAGAAAAGCATACACAAAACCTCTCTCTTTATGGGTTCTCCTGCTAAAACCAGCATTTGTCTGTGATGGCATAAGTGGGTGTTTATCTTTCTAATATTCTGTGAGAATTTGATTATTATCCATTCTGATGATGATAAATATGAACCATAAAAAAAAAAAACATAATAAAGTTTGAGTACAGGGCACTGTGACAGGTATGAAGAAAGAAGAACGAACAAGAGATGGTTTTATTTCAAGGAATTTATAATCTAGTCCACAGGGTAAATGCATAAACCGATGGTTATACTACACAATAATAATAGCTTGAAAGAAGTATGAACCAAGAACAAGAGAACACAGAGCAGAAGGCAGGGAACTCAGGGCAAGTCTGGAAAGACTTCACTGGAGACCAGATATTTGAATTCAACTATGCCTAAAGATAAAGGTGGTGGGAAGGGGCAGGGGGACCATCAGGGAGTATTACCAGGAAGGGGTAAGGACTGAGTATGAGTGGAGTATAGGATATACTGGGGGATACAGGTCAAGATGGGGGAAGTGGGCTGATGAGAGTTATATGGAAGAGGTGATGAAGGAAGATTCATGACAAGCTAAGCTGTTTGGATTTTATATTACTGGACAAATTTATTTTATAACAAGACTTTGAGTGTCAACATAAAGGATGGACTGGAGAGGAGAGACTGGGTGTCTATGTGTATGCAGGGAGAAGGGGAACCAGAAGCAGTAAGGACAATGGGAGGGAAGGGGGAGAAGGGCAAGTGCGAGCGACAGCAATGGGACATGTTGTGGGACTTTACTAGGGAGGACAACCTGCAACAGAGGTGAGGATTGGTGTACAAAGAACAGAGGGAATTAGGTGGCTCACACTGTGTGATACTCATTCATTAAAAACAAACTATGTATAAGATATCGAGGCCATAACAGAGTGTGGGAAAGGAGAATTATGGTGAGATTAATAGAAACTCATGTAAATTTTCAGTGACATGTATGTGAAAGGGGAAATTGAGAAAGGGCTGAAAGAAAAACCAATAGGTAAACCAACACCCTTATTTACAAATCATGGTATAGTTTAGTGGGTGGACAAGGCAGGAGCTAAAGACTGCTTCAGAAATATTCTATCAGCAGTGGCTATAATGAGCTGATTTCTGGGCTGGGTAAGCACAATGGTGTATAGTATATTGCTTTGAAGGAGGATTTTGGTAAAGGCGTGTGTGATCACAGACTAGAAGGTAGAGGAAAAGCATCATTCCTATTCTCATTGATCTGTATGCAATCAGAAGTACATAACTGTTATGATGTGATGTTTCTGTTCCTCTACAATTCAAATGTTGAGGGTGCCTGGGTGGCTCAGGTTGGTTAAGCCTCTGCTATCAGCTCAGGTCATGATACCAGGGTCCTGGGATGGAGTCCTGCATCCGGGCCCCTGCTCAGCGGGGAGTCTGCTTCTTCCTCTACCTCTATCCTCCCTGCTTGCGATCTCTCTCTCAGTATCTCTCCCTCCCTCTCTCTCTGATAAACAAATAAAAATTAAAAATTAATTCAAATCTTGGGGCGCCTGGCTGGCTCAGTGGGTTGGGCCGCTGCCTTCGGCTCAGGTCATGATCTCAGGGTCCTGGGATCGAGCCCCACATCGGGCTCTCTGCTCAGTGGGGAGCCTGCTTCCTCTCCTCTCTCTCTGCCTGCTTGTGATCTCTCTCTGTCAAATAAATAAATAAAATCTTTAAAAAAAAATTAATTCAAATCTTGAAACTCTATCTTCTATGATGGTATTAGGAGGTGGAGTCTTTGGAAGTTAATTAGAATTAGATGAGGTCATGAAGGTGGAGCCATCTTGAATGAGATTAGTGTCCTTATAGGAGGGAGTCTACTTCTCCTGCCACTTAAGACACAGCTAGACAAAGGCCATCTGTGAACCAGGAAGCAGACGCTCACCAGACGTCGAACCTGACCATGTGGGCAACCTTCGTTTTGGACCTCCAGTCTCTACAACTGTGGGAAATAAATTTCTGTTGTTTAGAAGCTCCCTAATTTATGGTAAAATATAGATGCTTAAGCTGACCAAGACAATATTTATTCACTTATTATTTCAGTGCATTAAGAGAAAACTTATAATTTTCTTTTGATCTTACTCTCATGGTTTGGGAAAGCACGAACAATTACTAAAAGATGTAGAGAAAGGTAAAGAATATGACTGTTTGCACATTACCCATTCTTTATGTGACACAGCATGACAACAGCATTCCAATGGTCCAGAAGGTGGGAAAGAATGTAAGCCCACACAGTCGACTGCTCTTTGTGGAGCACGATTTATATGTCGTAGGCTAACAGGAGTCAGGGGTTTCCCTTCCTGCCTTTTATCAGTTATTTGTGTTCATGTCCCATCTCTAAACTAGACTGTCTAAGCTTCCTGGAGGGCAGACAGAGAGATATTGCCACAAGGAAAAAGCAATATAGATTTATTTTTTATTTAAACAGCCCAAAGAGTCTTAATTTATCTTCGACTGTCTTGGTGCTTTATAATGTTTCCCAAATATATTATTTTCCATTCTTCCCTATGGCAAAGGGTCACATAAACTATATGGTTATGATTAACCTACTTACCACCATACTACTATTTTCCTAAATGTCATTAAATTAGATTCAGAAAGGCAACAAAGCCCTAGGATTTTACATTAATACCGATTTGGGTAAAAGCAGATTTTCAAGCCTGATTTTGTGAGGCTTCTATTTTGTTGAACCCTCCTAGCTCTTGGTGTTATAATTTGTATGCAGCAGGTGCTCATTAAATATTAAGCTATTGATGATATTAGGTAAAGTTATTTTAATATAACTAGAAATCCCCTGGGGCAATATGCAGATGGTTGGAAGAATGCCTCAAGATCGGAAAAGAGCCAATGAAGGACTTTATTAAATAAAAGAAAAAGGATGAACCCCGTCATAAAATTTGCACCCTTTGAGGGGCAATTTTCGCAGTTTAAAAAAAAATGTTATCTTGCTTATCCTAGTTAGGTATAAAAGGTTTAAAAGTGTAAAAGAGTTCACTTTAAAATACAGAAAAAGTTGGTTCTAAAGTTGCTGACAAAGTTGTACCCAAACTGCAGAAGGGGAAGAAACAAGACCTACTTTTTTTCAATTCAAACTCTCTAGCATAAGAAGGGGCTAAAAGCTGGTGGCCACTAAGGAGGAAAAGGAAGGCTAAGGAAGGTCACGCCTGATGGTTACCTAGAAAGGTAGGAGGAAAAGTAAGGAGTTCAGCAGGAAGGAACATTCTGGAAGGCTTTAATCAAGGCCAGTTACATGAAGTAGCGTGACTAGGGCCTTCAGGATGATCCCTTAGTAAAGGCTGTGCTCTCCACTCCAGTCCGTCTGGGCAGACAAACTATGCTCACTAATCAGGGTGTTGACTAAGATGCTGGAAAAAGCTGTTAGATGCCTGATGTTTGAAGGGCTGAAGAAATGCTTTCAGATTTCTAATAGAGGGAACAGTCACAAACAGACACATTTTTTAAGGCAAATATAAAGAAATTCCTGAAGTTCAGCTTAACTGCAAGGCCCCTAAAAACTTCAAAAGACCAGAACTGTGTGGGACTAAAGCTGTCTGAACCCTGAATCCTGAGCTGGGAAAGTTTTTTTTTTTTTTTTTTCTTTTTCTG